TTCATTTCTTATGGCTTTTTATTGATCGCAAAATTCCTTTCAATTGATACCTTGCCGTATCCTTAGTTAGCTTTGCTATGGATGACGTCGTCCTTAAAAAAGAGTTATCAAAAATCAGTGGTGTTTTTCTCTTCAGTGGTAATTATTATCTTATCCAAGGAGCATCAAACAGTCAGACACCCACACCAACTCCTACCACTGAGCTCGTGATAGAAAGTTTTATCATAAATCAAAGTACTGTTTTACGATTCGTTAAGTTTACTTATGGTAAGTTATAAGCCCCGCTGACATGTATCGATGGGACAGTTTCCCACACCATGTGCGTTGTTGGTAGTTTTTTCGGTCTCGAAAATAAATGGTATAATGTTAAATTTCAATTCAGTACAAATTTCAGCAGGTACCTGTTTCGTTCTGAATCTTCTGTTGAGAATGCAACCGTCTCGAACTCAAGTTGTGCTACGTACCACATTAATTCTACGTACGTGGAACGTATTAGTTTGGCAAACTGGCGGCCATCAGAAGTCTGCGAACTGAACGTTGATGAAACGACTATAATTCCTTACACAACTCAAATCAATTCTATGCGTGAAATATCATTCAATTTGATTCAGTCCAAGTTCTCTATTACTTAATGGACAATTACATGGTGCCGTTAACAGGTGGAACTTTTTTGACCGAGATTAACACGACCTCATTATCTTGTAAATGCAAATGAACGGTAACTACCTCATGAACCCTTGAATTGACTTGAGTTCTCCGTGGCTGCTGGCTTTCTTCCTATTTTTCGACTGGTAATTTGGACTGATTGGAAATTGGATCGTGTTCAGTTGCAGAAATAAACTTAGAAGACCACTTAATGTCGTTTTGATTTAGAATCTCTTCGTTTTCTGTAAGCAAGGACACAATGAGAGTAAGTTCGGTAGTATTAAATGTAAAAACTTAAGGACCAACAAAATGTGCCCTAAATTAATTGTTTTGGTGTGATGTGTGAGGAGCCCATTAAAAAAATGGCAGACAGAATCTCTGTTTGTCTAGCAAAGAATTATGGGAAAAAGGTTGTAAGACTTCCACCCACAGCTATAATCTCCGCTTGTATTTTCTTGCCCTCCCAGTTGACTGTAACCGTACTCCCTTCTTTGTGTTCGAAGCTTTTACCCAAAATCAACCTTGAAGGGGCGATACCAGTTGTCCTTTCTTTTGAAAAATAAAGCAACACTTTTGACTGAGTACGTTGAGTCAACACAATTATCAAATGGCGTCCGTCCGTGTGCGGTGACCAACATTATCAAAGTGGTTTTCCTTCCTTTCGCTCCATCCATGATTAAAATACGCCCTTGTAGACCTCACAAACGAACAGGAAATGTGCTTAAGAATACTCAAGTTGAAAGAAAAGGGCTTCAAAGTCGTAAAGCGACGATGACACAGTCTCGACTATAGATAGCTGTTTGATCAGATACATCACTTCATTTTTATTACGAGGAATCGATCCCGCGCATGAAGAATACAGTACACAGAATGAACGTTTTATCCCTAGGGAAAAAAAGATGAGCCTTCCTCCTAGTAAAAATTTTCAGAACATATAATTTGAAAATAAATGCACATTAAGATTTCGCCATTCGTTCGGAAGCTGTTCAGAAAATGTCACACGACAAAGCACATGCTTTTTGTAAATACTGCTGTTCGCCATCTTGTATTGTATGGTGCTGGTCGCCTCTATGTGGAGCTGACTTAAGTCTGTTAGTGATTTAAAGTATTAGTGGCATCGATGTAGTTTGCACAGAAAATGCAAGTCTCCATTAAGTTCGGGGACAGAAGCATTATCAGAACCCTCGACTGGCCAGGGTAATTCGCAAGGCTAAAAGACGTGCAGGGTCGTTGAAGCTTACGTTGAGTTGCCCTCTCGCTGGGTCTTAAATGCCACAGCTGTGGGAAGCGAGGGAGCCGTAGATCTCGTACACGATTGTGAAACAAATGCCAAATACCATCAGATCCTTATG